ACAGAGTGGCCTAAACAACATAAATTTTTATTTTCTCACAGTTTTCGAGAGTAGAAATACAAGATCAAGGTGTCAGCAGATTTGGTTTCTTCTAAGGCCTCTCTCCTTGACTTGCAGATAGCTGCCTTCTTGTTGCTTTCTCATGTAATCTTTCTCTGTGCATGTGTCTGTTTGACGTGTCTAAATTTCCTCTTTGCATAAGGACACCAGTCAGGTTGAATTAGGGCCCACCCTAATGGACTCATTTTAATAGAATTACCTTTTTAAAGGCCCTATCTCTAAATACAGTCACATTCTGAGATACTGGGGATTAGGGCTTCAGCATCTGAATTTTGGGAGAACACAGTTTAACCCATACCACCTGCCATGACTCATTAGCTCCACAATGATCACCTTGCCTAATATGCCATTTGAAGGCGAATTAGGGCTCTTGTTGGTGCTCACCTGGAAAACACTAATGTATGAAGATCTTGGATATATTATACGTATTTTCTAGGCAGAAACAAATATAAGATGCTTCACTTTTTGCCTAGGGATATAAGCAGTGCTGCTTGCACCTCTGTTGTCTGTGAGAGTACTTAAAAACAGCTCCTTCAGTTTTTGCTGCAGCCCTTCGCTCCACAGGCCTCTGACCCTAGTCCACATAGATAACTTCTCTCTCCCCTCCATCACTTAGGTATTTGCTGACAAACTCCACATTCTTAAAACCACGAACCCTCATGCAATTTCACTTTTCCAATTTCTCCCAATTAATTTGCCAGATAGCTCCAGAAATTTTGAAGCTTAGTTTGTGACATTAATGACATTTAAAATGAAATAAATTGCACTATATGTGTGTGTGTATATATACATATACATATACACATATATACATGTATATATGCGTGTGTGTGTGTGTGTGTGTGTGTGTGCGTGTATTTCAGTACTAAAGTACTGCAAACACAGTGATGCAGCCAATTGAAAGAACAGAAAAAAAAAAAACATCCAGAAAAAGAACTAATCAAAATAGAAGTAAGAAAAAAATATACTTTTTGGAGGACCATAATGAAGCACAGGTATTCTATAGCAATTATCTGGGACAACAAAAGGGAAAATTAGCCATCATGCACAAAATAAATTATGGCATACTGCTTTGAGGACATGATGTTCTCAATCAGATACAGAGGGAGCAAAGTTATGAGGTATTTAAATTCTTTATCCTTCAGGATATCTACTTGGCATGGGTCAGAGAACCAGATTTAATGTTGTCTTTCAAAGTTTCTTCGGCAATGTAGTTTGAGGACTCCCTATCAAGATAGTGGAATATGTAAACACTGTGCTTGCCTCCTCCCACAGCCACATCAAATTACAACTAAATTATATAAAGATCCTGAAAACAACCTAAAGATCATCTGAACAACAGAACTCCTACAACTAAGGATATAAAGAAGAAGCATGTAAAAACTGGTAGGAGGGGCAGAGACCTAAACAGGCGGGTCCCACACCCACTTGTGGCAGTTAAGAGTCAAGAGGGATATCTTGCCTGTGGAGGATCCACTGAACAGCAAGGAGTCCCCACAACTTCTGGCTGTGAAAATCAGCAGGGACTGAGTCTGAGTGAGACGGAGAGCTGTTGAAGTCCCAGGTGTCCTCTTAAAGGGCCTGAGCACAGATTCACTCACAAACACGTGCCCTAAGTTCCAGAGAAGGGGCAACAGCTCAAAAAGCACCAGGGACGTATGAGGAGGAACTGAATTGTATGGCTTCAGGACAAAGATTGGAGGGGCAGCTCTCTCCGGGACTAAAGTACTGGCAGGTGCCATTGTTCCTTCATTGAGCCCTACTCTCACACAGCCAGCAGGTGCAAGTGGGTGCCAAATCTGACTTTCCATTAACTTGGCTAACACTTCTCTCACACCATCCTGACAATTCTGAGATCCCGCGCCATCCTATTCACCTGCCAGCCCAAACCTCTTTCAGAAGCCAGTTTCCACAAGCAGCAGGCCTGGGCCAACGCTGCAGACTTTCCTAAAATCTTTCAAAGGTCCACAAACCCCAAACAAGCAACACGTACCCTATACCTCTTGCTAATTGGCCCTAAATCCGGCACTGATGGCAGCTGGCCTTAGATTACAGAGCCACTCCCAGGGACCTCCAAGCCTGGCAAAGGCAGCTCTAAACTGCAGATCACTTTGTAACTTCTACCAAGTGTCCCCAGGATAGATACGCAGCAGTTGACTTTTGTTTGTACCAGAGCCCTTCCCAAGAATCCCTGGAATCAACACACATGGTGGCAGGCTTCAGACCACACCAGAGCACCATGTAATTAGTGCCACAAATGACACACCCAAAGAATGGACTTGGCAGGCACCAGAGCCCTGCTAAAGTGAATCCCATTTCATGGGATCAGCAACCACACAACAGCTTGTCCACCAAAATCATGCCAGTCCTCACAGCCAGTTAGCCTAAGGTCAGTCCCTCCCACTGATGTGCCGACAGCAATCTAAACTCAACTATAGCAGTAAGGCACACACAACCCACACAAGGAACACCCCTAACCAGAGAAGACTGTGCCACTGGGCCCACAGGACACCTACTACATAAGGCCACTCTGTTAAAACTGGGAGACATAGCAGATATACCTAATACTGATAACAAACACAAGGATACAGCCAAAATGAGGAAAAAAGAAACATATTCCAAATGAAAGAACAGAACAAAACTCCAGAAAAAGAATTAATTAAAAAGGAGAAAAAAAGAAAACAAAAATATAAATAAGAAAATACCACAAAGAAAAAAAAAATTCACTGACAAAGGCAAACATATAATAAAAGCAGTGGATCAACCAACACTAAAGCTAGTACAAAGGTTAAAGGCAAAAGTAGGAAAATCATCTGTAATTACAACAGTAAATTAGAGTATACATGCACACACACACACACACACACACACACACAAAAGAAGTAAAAAATGACAAAAACATAAATATGGAGGGGGTGAGTAAAAATGGTAGTGATTTTAGAATGTGTTTGAACTTGAGCAACCATCAACTTAAAATAAACTGATATAAACATAGCTTGGTATATATGAAGCACATGGCAACCACAAACCAAAATCTACAAGAGATATACAAGAAATAAAGAGAAAGGAGCCCAAACATAACAATACAGAAAATCATCAACATACAATAAAAGAGAGCAAGATAATAAAAAAGGAACAGAGAGCTACAAAAACAATCAGAAAACAATTATTAAAATGGCAACTACATACCTATTAATAATTTAAATGTAAATATATCAAATACTCTAATCAGAAGATGAATGGATAAAGAAGTGGTACGTATTTACAATGAAATATTACTCAGCCATATAAAAGAATGAAATCTTGCCATGTATGAGAACATGGATGGACCTAGATTGTATTATGCTAAGTAAAATAAGTCAGACAAAGACAAATACCATATATTTTCATTTATATGTGGAATCTAAAAACAAACAAACAAAAAAACCCAGAAACATACCCATAGATATAAAGAACAAATTGAAATGGAGGGGATTGGGGCACTGGGTGAAAATGTGAAGGGATTAAGAAGTACAAATTGGTAGTTACAAAACAGTCACAGGGATGTAAAGTATAGCTCAGGGAGTCAATGATATTGTAATAACTGTGTATGGTGCCAGGTGGGTGCAAGACTTATCAGAGGGATCACTTTTTAAGTTATATAAATGTCTACCCACTATGTTGTATACCTGAAACATAATATTGAAAGTCAATTGTAATTTAAAAAATAAATGAAAATTTAAAAAACACAAAAACACAAATGGAAACAATGTAGTTTGATTATTTTTAAGTTAATTTTAGGATTTATATAATTAAATAATTATTACCGATTTTATTGGTATGCCTTATTGTATTTCCATTGAATTGTAAACTTTATA